TAAAAAAAAAATTAAAAGTAACAAACAATAAAAGCAGTAAAATTTTTTAAACTTGGTTGAAAATATCATTTCAATCCTTAATGAAATGCTTGTGATATTTTAAAAGAATATGAAATTTGCATATTACCAAAAAAAAAAAAAGGAAATTTGAAGTTGAAATTACACTAAAACTGTAACACTAATGGCTGCCGTGGGCCAGCAAACACATCTATCAAAATCAAAATTTTTATTATGAAAATTAATTTTATTTTCAAAAGAATAAAAAAAAAAAATCTTGACAAAGTATCTTGTTAGTGGGACCAAGATGATCATATTATCCAAAACCAGCCACAATAAGCAGATACTTAAAATACACATTTCTTCTTCTTTTTCCATCCCATTTGCCGCCTGTAAGTAAAACCCCACAAAAACCCCAATGCTGCAATCCCTGCATCTCTTCTCTTCCACTTTGCCACCCTCTATCTCTCGTCAAAACCCCTCTTTCCTACTTTCTTTCCCCAAACCCACTTCTTTGTCTACTCCCTCCACCCAGTCTCTACGGCCACTCCGCCGGTTGCTGGCCGTGGCCCAAGAACCCACCGCCGCAGAAGAAGAGGGTCCAGTTGAGCTACCACAATCCTCCACCTCAATGTTTTCCATCAGCAATGAGCCTTCAACCTTACAGCTCTCAACCAGTGTTCTGCTCACTGGTGCTTTCACTGTCTTTCTCTTCCGCACTATAAGACGCCGCGCTAAGCGAGCTAAGGAACTGGTGTGTATTCTTCTGGTTATTCTTTTCTTTTTTTCCCTATTGATTGTTGCAATTTTTTTTTTCTCGCTTTGATGAACTGGGTTTCACGTATCTACTCATTCTATCAGATTGATTAGATACATTAAACTTTTTTTTCAATCTTTTCGGAGATTTTTCAGATATTTTTACTTAAAAATTTAGACTTTGAGTGTAGTTTTGGTTGGTTTCTTGACACTCAATTCAACATGTTCTTTTAGTGGTGCTTTGCTTTCAACCATTTAGGAACAGGGTTTTGCTGCGTATTCCAATATTTGGATAACCTTTTCTTCATTTAATTGGTTGGAAATTGTTTCCTTTCCTTTCCTTTCCTTTCCCCTCATTTCCCTCAATCCAAACATGGGTAAGTTCAATTAGTTATTTGTGAAATGCTTATCTAGTTATCTTATTGATCTGTATTGGTGCATTATCTGGAGTTCCATGTTTTCTTGTGGCATCATTGCTTAAGATTTGTTGAACTAGTTCCTGTTGCTCCTACATTTCCAGCTTTGTATGTTGTTATGAGCCGAGATGTATTTTAAAATAATGATTTTCGTATGGTCTAGAAATTTAGATCATCTGGGTCAAAGACATTAATGAAGGAGGAGGCGATGGTCCGCTTGAAAGGAATGAGATCAGCTCCAATTGATGCTAAGTCCCCACCTTCAGTATTTAATGCATTGTTCGGTAGCATATATGCAGGTGTCATTGCACTTGTTCTTTATAAGTTCACCATCACTATTGGGGCAGCCTTGAACCGGCAGACAATTTCTGATAATTTCTCGGTTTGTGCTTTTATTCCCTCTTATGATCATTTTTGGGGCTGTGTCATACCAAAACTATACCGCCATAAAGTGGGAATTTCGTGAAGTTGTACTTGGATTGACTGCAACATCTACATTTTATTGCCTCTTTTCACTTAAGTTCTGGAAATCATTGCTTCAGAGCTTTCCTTTGTTTTTTAGATAAGGAAACACATTTTCTAACTACTAAATGTGGCAGATTCTTTAGAAAGTGACTGGCATTTCTTGTGCCAGAACCGGTTGTATGCCTAGAATTGATTAAATTGTTTGATAGGATGACTTGTTCTCAACTATTTTTATCATATCCTGTATGATCAATAGGCTTTAGACTTAAATGCTTTAATGTAAACATTATACGGGGGGGAGGCATTTTTATGGTTTTGCATTTAACAATTAATGGTACATTTTGCCACAGAACCCTATAGGGTTAATTGCATTATTAGATGATAACAGTTCCCTTTCCTGTAAGAGTTTTTGAAAATGGCATATTTACTTGAATTACATGACCATGCTTTTCACAAATCCTTTTGTTTTCATTGTTTCAGGTTCGTCAGATAACAATAACTATAAGGCAGGTCCTGCTACTAGTACTAATTTCTTCTAGCACTCTTAGCTATAAATTTATGTAACAATCTCGTATTATCTTCTATTTACAGGACTATTGTGAATGGATTGTGCTATCTTCTAACATTTGTCTTTGGCATCAATTCTGTCGGATTGTTCCTTTATTCTGGCCAGCTTGCTATGAGTCCCTTCATGGAAGGTTCTGCAATTAAAGAAACAGAAAGTAAAGGGGAAGATAACTTAGGCTCATCAGTGGTTGAAAGTCCCATAGATGGTACTGAATTGACCAGAAACAAGGAGGATCAAAGTTCAGATTATAAACATTAACAGAACTAAAGCAGAGGAAATTATTTTATGTTCTTTACCTGTTTTGTAGAAAGAAAACATGTCATGTTAATAATGTTATTCTATTTCACATTCATAATCTTCCTCTATTGATGTATATACGTGCGAATCTGGAGGCCATTTCCATGAAACTATTCCTGTTTAATACCCCCACCAAACTATCTAGTAAATCTTTCTCCCTATATCAAATCTTTATTTATGCTTTCTACCTGGTGATGTGCTTTTATTTAGGTTTGATGATGAGAAGATCTCTTTATTTCCTTAATATGTATGATCTTTATTTAATGTGAAAAGCAAGTTTTTTTGAACAATCTACTTCGTACTTTTTTTTTTTTTACCAGAATACTTTGTACATAATATGGCTTCCACATGTATGATTTTTTTTTTTTTTTTTT